TAAGTGAATTTTGATGTAATGGACACATTTTTTCAACTAAACCCCCCCCCCCATGGGATTTCCATTCTTACAAAGCTCAAAGCCGTAGCAGGAAAAGGCAGGAAATGTTCATGGGCGAGGTGGCAGACATCTGCAGGGGCAGGTTTGGAGGGCGAGGAACGAATGTTTTCAGCTGAGAGTTGGGAGATCTGTCAGGGAAAACTTCATGAAGGTGGTAGCATTTGAAGATGACCTTGAGGGTTAAGAAAGATTTTCAAAAGTAAAGAAGTGTAAAAGAATAGCATCTGGGGCCAAGGGAATAGCCATAGCAATGGAAAAGTGAGGACACATTTGAAAGACATTCTGTTTAACAGACCAAGTTTGGTGTTTCTCTGAGTGTATGTACTAAAGGAGAGAGAAGAATCCAGTCTGACCCCTAGGAGGGGATGGGAGGTTGGGTAGGGGTCAGTGGTTGCAGGACGAGCACAGTCAGCAACTGTAGTGAAAATGGTGTTCATAATAGTAACAGAAGGTGTTCAGTGAGCATGCACTGATTACCAAACAATATGCAATCTCAGGATAACCATATGAGGGAGAAAGAGTTGTAGAAATTGAGAGCTAAAGAAGCCAAGTAACTTGCACGAAGGCACACAGCAGAGATTTATACCCAGTCTGTGTCTAGAACAGGAGTCAGCAAACTTTTTAACGAACGTCAGATAGTAAATGTTCTAGGCTTTCTGTCCATGTGGTCTCTCTCACAAGTATTCCACTATGCAGTTGTAGCGTGAAGACAACCATAAATAATGTGTAAATGAATGTGTCTGTGTTCCCCTAAGACTTTGTTTACAAAAGCAGGTGGAAGGCTGGATTTGGCTCATGGGTCATAGTTTGCCAACCCTTCGCCTAGAGTGAGTGCTCTTAACTACTCTGTATGTATTCTGCCGGCTCAGACAATAATTTTCACTCTCCATAAGCAACAGATGTAGATGACTATATGGTGAAACCTCTCAGAATTGTATGGATGAGAATGGCCTCATTTGTTTTCTGTTGTGACCCCTGCCTGCTACAGAGGGTCTAGACTGCTTATGTTGCTGGCGATTAGGTTCTTGTCGCAGAAAGAATTCAGCGACTTGGAAGTTAAGAAAGTAAAGTGAGGATTTATTAAGGGATAGATAGTACATGCTCAGAGAGAGAGAGCAGGTGCTCGGGTGAGCAGCTGTGCTGAGTTTCTTTGGCAAGTTGGTTATATAGAGTGTCAAAATGAATGGGTGGAATATTCATTGGGGAGGGAAGGGTTTGGGGTTGTATTCCCTGATTTCCATCCCAACTCCACTTTCCTGAGGGGGAAGAGGGATTTTTGTCCTTATTTAGTCTGGATCGGAAGTATCCTCGTTTCGGCATAATGGGTACTTCTAATCTGCAAGGCTAATTTTATTGTAATGAGGACATAATGAGCATAATGTTACATTCAGACACTGGAGACTCCCGCCCTTTCCTACCTTTCTTTGCTTGCCTCCAGGACGCTTGTCAGCCCAAATGTGTGATTTAGTCTCAGTCTAAAGGTTCCTGATTTTCTCTGTCTGCCCAAGGACCCCCTGCAATTTACAAAATGTATGGTTTCTTGCCATTTGGCCCATACCCCTCCTTTTTTCTGTCTATTCCCGCCATTTGGCGTCTCCCTTTCTCTGCTATATCTAGCTATCTGCCTGCTCTAACACTGATACCACCTGTTTTATGGCATTAGTGCAGATCCCTGACTCCTCAATTTAAGGAGGTTTTCATTACCCATACTGCCTTTCTACTCATTTGTATTCCTCCTATTTGAAAGGTTTTCTCTAGGATTTGGTGATGGGTACTAAGGAGTGGCAAGCAGATGATGAAAACTTTGGCTCAGCCTTTAGGATTTTGCCTTGGCACACTTTGCTGTCTGTCTGTTCAATACCTTCTGAGTCTTGCTCTCTCTGTCTCCAGGGTGATAACTACAGAATCTGGTTTGATAAAGTTTTTCAGTCTCTCAGTGAGAGAGGTCTTTAGAGGGTCTTGCCTTCTGTTTCCAGGTGGCACAACACAGACTATATGATCGGCTGTCTACAGACTGAGCTCTAGAGCTGAACCAGGTGGGGTCCACGAAAACTTTGTGGCCCAATTGGATCGATTCAACAAATAACTTGCTGAGTACTTCCTATGGCCCAGACACTGCTAAAAGCTGTACAGATGAGATACAGTCCCTGAGCTCACAGTGCTTGTCTTCTAGTTCAGGAAACAGACATTATGTACATAATCACCCAAGGTATCATATAAATGGTGCTCAGTGCCATAAAGGATGTACGTGTTATTTTTTGGAAAGAAAAAAATGCCTTGTATGCAACAGGTCTTTACAAAACAATGATTCTTTGCATCTCAGTACAATAGGAGCGTAGAAGTCATTATTCCTGGCTTTTATTCTTATCTTGATTCTTCTAAATCCTATGGAACTGAAGGAGAAATGCTTCAACATTTGGTTTTCACTATAGCTGATACAACTAATCCCTAACATTTCTGGAATCCTAACCAAGGAAAGAATTTCCTTTGCTGACATGTTCTCATTTGGTCACAAGGCTAGGATATGTATCACCACCCAGCTTTTGCAAATGAGGACACTTTGTTCAAGGCTTGAGGTAGCTTATGTCCTTCAAAACTTTGAGGTTGTTAAAGTGGAGCAAAAGCCTTCACAATGCTGATTTCTAGGACAGATACTGAGCACTGCTTGAGGGTGTGTGTGGGACTCTGGGGTCCGATTGTCAGGGTTAGATCCTGGTTTAAGCAGGGATTATTACCTGGTCCACTTACCCTTCAAAGCCTCATTTTTCCCATTTGTAAACAGAGATAATAATAGTACTGCTCTCTTAGCGCTGCTGTGATGATTAGAGAAGATTGTGTGTGTATATCCCCTAGCACATGCTGTTACTGTCATTGTCATTATTACAGGACAAAACAGCAGAGAGCTTAACATGAAGCTTTAGAAGTATGCAATATGAACTTGGATAAGTTTAAAAAAAAACTCACTGGGTTTCTTTATTTACAAAGTGGGCTAAGAATTCTCATGGCTTTGGGTTTCTATGAGGATTAAATGAGAGAATATGTACTGAAACTTTGTATCTCAACACCTGGCACAGGGTCAGCCCCTGGTGAGTGGCAGTTCTTATTATGGAAACAGCGCAAGACCAGTTAGTTGAAGCTGGGCTCTGGCCAGAGGTCAGGCATTGATCTAGGCAAGGCAGGGATCTGGAAAACCCCAGCAGGGGTTGGTAAGAGGAAGTCTGGGAATGTAGGTGCATTGTCATCACCTGGCCATGGGCTCATGGCTGATGTCCAGGCAGGAAGGAAGAAACAAAGACTCAACCATAGAGACTAAACCCTGGGAGCAGGACAAATGAGAAAAAGAGTAGACTGAGAGTTGGAGGAGAGGCAATACCATGGCAGGGCCCAGGTGTCACTGGCCCAGAAATGTATGAGACTTGGGCTCAAGACTGAATCGATGCTGTTCCACCCGCTGTACTCCTTTCTTCTTTGGTTTGGGAGCTTTGTCACACTTACAGCCTGCAGGTGGTGGCTGGAGGACTTAGGGTGCTGGGCCATTCCAGGCCAAGCCAGTGGCTCATCTGGTGGGTGAAACAGTATAGCCACTGGTAGTGATAAACACATGGGGTAGTGAGTGGCGATAAGAAAGAACCAAGGAAGCTGGAGACCACTTCCCAATTTTAGACCATAAGGCACTTGTGTTTTACTGGAGCTGTGGATCAGGTGAAGTCTTGGTGGAGGCCTTGATCTTTGGAAAATCCATGCACATGGAGTCCTGAGGATGCTGTGTGAGCAGCTGGGTCTTTCTAAGTCCTGCCTTTCCCCGTGGGGTTTTTCCTGGAGAGGAATACTGACATCCTCTCTGTTCAGTCATAGTGACCTCAGAGAGGAAAAGTCCAGGATCCAATGCCTGCTCTGTGAGTTTACCCCTCTGTAATACCCCAAATCTTGCTCCTTGGGGACCTGGAGAAAATGACCGTAGCCCAAGGGTCTCCCAGAACAGCAAATGGTAATAAAGAGAAACAGAGCAAGAAACAGGATCAGTGTGTGAAACCTTGTGCAAGCCACTTCCCATCTCTGGGACTGGTTTTATCTATAAAATCAGGGGAGAATCTCAACCCAAGCTGCACAATAGAGTCACAATAGTGACTAGTAAGGAGCTTTGACAAAATCCTGGTCCTTTAGCCACATCCCTAGAGTGTAGGCTAGCTTGTCATGTCCACACAGTGGTGACTTTGCCTGTGTCTGCATTGTAAAGGGCTTCTGGATGATTCTAACTGCTGCTGGAATTGAGACTACTATCTAGATGGTGCTCAGTGCTCCTTCTTGTTCTAGAATTCTGAACCTGTGCAGCCTGCATTACCTATGCCTCCCTTCTTCATTAATCCTTGACGTGGGGGAAGAGTTTTCTACACAGTTTCCAGAAAGTTAAAGAGTACTCCATTAAACACCAGAACTTTTGCCCTTCTTTGATTTTTCTCCTTGTGCAAACCTCACAATCTTTTTGACAATTTAGTTACCACTATGGTCATTCATTTGTACATTTATTCAATAAATATGCATTTGGCATCCACTGTGTTAGGTGCTTATGAAAAAAATGTTGTAGTGTAGCTGAAAGATAAATGGACTGTGGGCCAGTAATAATAGCAGTGATAACTAACATTTAAACATTTATCAAGTGCTTACTCTATGGAGGGCACTCTTCTAAGGACTCTATCTCATTTGATCCTCACAATGATCTTTTGAGCCAGGTACAGTTATATCCCATTTTACAGATAGGGAATCGAAGCACAAAGAGGTTCTGCACTTTCTCAAGGTCACACAGCTGGTTGAGGCAGACCCAGGATTCATATCAGTCCCTGATCTCCCTGTGTGATTTGAAACAATGTTGTTTCCTCCTCTGCTGAGTGACTCAGGGCCCCTTTGAACCCTCACATTCTATGAACCCATGTTTCTCCCAGGTCCCTCAGGAGGTCCCTCACCTGCATCAAGGAGAGTCTGCGTATCTTCATCGACCTGGGGGAGAAAGACAAGGCCGCTGAGGCTTGGCTTGGGGCTGGGCGACTCCACTACCTCATGCAGGAAGATGAACTGGTGGAGCTGTACTTGCAGGTCGGCCTCCGGCAGAGCTCATCTGCTGACCTGGGTGGTGGGGGGAGGCAGGTTTACCCTCCGGAGGGGTCAGCTGGAACTAGGGAGACGTGGTGTCTTTGCCAGTCCTTGGAGGGGCAGTCAACCCTGGGCTGCTCCCTGGACACGAGATGGAAACCAGGGCAGTCTGGCAGGCTGAACACAAGCGGCAGTGAACACACTCACACTCATACAGAGACTCACACAAAGGCAGATCCCACGTGCATGTGTGAGCTCTCAAAGAACGTGGTGGGAGGCTTGCTCATCTCTCATGTCAGTTTTATCTCTCTTTCCAAAACTCGATACATGACTTCAGAGTTTTGCTGCAGTTTGAGGCAAGGTTGTTGTATGCTGGGTGTTAACACTGTTGTTCTTTTATGATTTTTTTTGTTTGCATACCTTTAATATCTGAGATATGGCGTAGCGTAGTGATTAAGGACATGGGCTTTGCAGAAAGAAAGGCCTGGAATCAAATCACAAGGCCATCGCTTATGAATTGTGTGACCGTAAGCTTGCTACATGAGCTCTCTGGGCTCAGTTTCTTCATGGGTGGACCTGCCTTTGGGAAAGATTAGGTATAACATTTGCACAGTAAACACATATGCATCTATAAGTATTTACTAAGTGCTTGGGACCTAGTAAATGCTTAGTAAACGATATTTTATCATCATCTCTACTGTTATGTGCACAATATTGACATTGTGATGGCATATAAGAAGATTTCTTCCATCAAAAATATGCCTGTTATCTTTTCTCCTTCTTATTTCTCATTTTCTCCCCTTTTACTTACCCTTACTCTGTTACTTACACTCAGACAAATTCACTTCCACCAAGACTTAAAAATGGTTGTGTAACATTGATTGAAGGCTTACTATGCCCAGGAGACTTTGAGCACTTCGCATGCGTGATGTAGTTTAATCCTCACTAAAATGCGGCAGCAGTTTCTGCTGAAATTCCCATGTGACTGATGAGTCTCAGTGAGGCTGAGGAGCTTGCCTGAAGTAATAGAGCTAGTAAGTGGGGAAACCTGCACACCAGCGATGTGACTTAAAGCTTTCACTCGCAGACTGTATTCTGCCTTGGGATTTTGGAGCTGGAAGAATTATCAGAAAGCAGACAATTCAGTCTTGCCTTTCACTCCCTGGCAGACGAGGTCCAGAGGGAGATTTTGGGGTTTTTCACTGCTGGGTGGCAGAACTGTCTCCAGGATTCCAACTCACTATCTTTGTGTAACTGCATATGCAATAAAAATAACTGAGGGGTCTTGCCCCAGGGATTCACTGGTCAGAACTAGTCCCCGCCCTCCAACTCTAGGCTGCCACCTGACTTGTGCTTCTGCACTCATTTCCACCAAGGTGAGCCGTTCTCTCCCTAAGGCCTGTACTGCTTCCTCATCACATTTTGTTTGGGTGTGATATGAGGTAGCTTGCTTGAGTTATAAGGAGATCATAAGGGCCAGGAGAAGGGTAATGGGGTAAAAGACACTAGCACTTGTTTGCCACTAACTGTTGATGTGAATTTGAAAGCTCCTTATTCTTTCTGAGCCTCAGTTTCTCCATCTGGAAAGTGTAGGTATTGAATGAGATCACCGTTTTCCAAACTTCGGTCATTTATATGTCAAGTTTATGGTTTTGCCATATTCAGATACCTCTGTGCCATTTTTTTTTGTATGATATTTCTATTTATTTATTTATTTAATTTTTTAAAATTTAGTAATAGTCATTTTACAGTGCTGTGTCAAATTCCAGTGTAGTGCACAATTCTTCAGTTATACATGAACATACATATATTCAGTGTCACATTCTTTTTCGCTGTGAGCTACCATAAGATCTTGTATATATTTCCCTGTGTTATACAGTATAATCTTGTTTATCTGTTCTACATTTTGAAATCCCAGTCTGTCCCTTCCCACCCTCCACCCCTTTGGCAACCGCAAGTTTGTATTCTATGTCTATGAGTCTGTTTCTGTTTTGTATTTATGTTCTTTTTTTTTAGATTCCACATATAAGCGATCTCATATGGTATTTTTCTTTCTCTTTCTGGCTTACTTCACTTAGAATGACATTCCCTGGGAACATCCATGTCGCTGCAAATGGCGTTATGTTGTCAGTTTTTACGGCTGAATTTCTGTGCCATTATTTACTGATTTTTCTTTGACTCAACTTCACATCAACTTAGCTTTTTACACTAAACAATGCTATCTAAAATCAGAGGTTTGATTTATTATTAATCTTTTAAAAAACACGTTAAAATAATACTTAACTATTAAAACCAAAGAAGTTTATGTACTGCCAAAAATCATTTCTTGGGCCACCAAAGTAATCTCTCATGGCGTGATGGGGAAATGCTGGACTAGGGAATCTTGGAGGCTTCTTACCAGCCTTGAGTGTGGGAGACCATTTAGGGTTCAGGGGAGTTTAGCAGAGGGCTAAGCCAGGAGATCAGGGTCTCATTCCTGCCAGTCCTATAGATGTTCGATCATCCTTCTCTCCACCTGTGACAACAGTCTCTGTCCCATCCAGGCAGCCATCCAGAAAGCCTTGAAGTCAGAGGAACCCTCTCTGGCTCTCAAGCTCTACGAAGAGGCTGGTGATGTGTTCTTCAATGGGACCCGCCACAGGCATCGTGCGGTGGAGTACTACCGCGTAAGTCCCGGGCTCTAGTCCACGGTATCCCAGCCAGGCCCTGGCACAAACGTGAGCAGGGCCACGTGAACTTCAGCCTGGGGTCCCTTCCCCTCTCTTATGGTATTTCTTTGTTGTCCCTTCCACATCCGGTGCCCACATGCTCTCCCTTTCTTCAGTCTAGCAGCTCTCAAAGAAGGAGCCAATAAAGTCTGTCATTCTCAAACTTGATAAAACTATCCTTCCTGGGAGAACACACGGTAATAATTACATCTTTTAGGTGCATGGTACTTCACAGTTTGTAGCACACTTCTCTGTTGGCCAGAATGTTCCTAGGTACCATTGCTGGCATGGTGGGAGATGACTGGTCAATGGAGGAACACTTTTGCTTAAGGATGTATTAAAATATATTTTAATAATTAAAATGTATAATACCAGCTCAGCAAACCCATAATCTCACAGATATTATTGCAAAGAATGAGGCAAGATAATAAAAGACAGTTAATCTAAGAAATAATCTTAATTAAATAAATGTCCAAATGGTAAGCAGATATTTCAAAAATCATAATAGTTGTTCATCACTGAAGTTTGGGAAACCTCGTTATTTTATTTGATCCTTAAATTTCACTTATTCAGATATTCATTCATTTGCTTGTTCAGTTGTTTATTCAGTCATCAAACATCCATCAAGCACTCAAGATGTGCCAGGCACTGAGCTTGGGGTCAGGTGAACAAGAAACACAATCCTGACTGTTGAGGTGTCATGGTCATATGTATTTTATAGATGAGAAAACCAAGACTCAGAGAGATGAAGTGACCTACCCCTAATCCTATCATAATAAAAATAATAGAAATGACTATTTATTGGGCCCTCTCAGGCACTATGCACATACTCCATGTGTGTACTTTGTACATTAGCACTATGGGTGCTAAGGGAGCACATAACTGGGAGATAACTTCCCATGTGACCTTGGGGAAAGTCATCTTCTCTTTCCTACTCTCAGTTTCAGGGGGCCTGATGACCTTTAGTTCTTCCACCTCTAAGGTCTGGGCAGAGCAGCTAAGAGCAAGGACCAGGAGAGTAGGTTGAGAAAAGCCATGCGTGGAAATATCGCATCCTTCCCCCCTCATTTTAGTCACTGCCATCCCCCCTACTCCTGGCAGTAGGATATAATATAGCCTCCTAGAGTAATGTACTTACCAGTGATTCTCGCTAGACTAAGGCTTCTTGTGACTCTGTTCTCAGGCTGGGGCTGTTCCCTTAGCAAGGAGGATGAAGGCAGTCAGAACTGAGCTTCGGATTTTCAACAAGCTGACGGAGCTGCAGATCAGCCTGGAAGGCTATGAGAAGGCTTTGGAATTTGCCACCTTGGCAGCCAGACTCAGCACCATTGCAGGTAGGTGGTCCTAACTGTCTAGTGTATTGAATGGGAGTAGTGATGCTCCCCAGGGAGGGGCAACAAAGCCGGAACAGCATAGGTTCTGGAGTCAGACTCTGTGGGTTCAAATCCTGGGTCCAACTGTTAGGGAGCCCCCAGTGAAGCAAGTTGCTTAAAGCCTATAAGCCTCACATTTGTCATGGGCAAATCAGGATTACAAATGGCGCCCCCATCATGCAGTTGCTATGAAGACCAAATATAATCCAGGTAGAACCCTCAGCACAGTGCTTGGTACATAATAAGTCTTTGATAAGTGTTACTTGTGCACACTAATTATATTATATTTGATATTATTCCCTGAGTACAGTAAATGGTATTTTAATACCATTTACTATCGTATGCACAGGCAATGCCCCATTACAAAAGCACTGTGCATTAACTTTTTAATTGGTTAATTATTAGTCAAGTGTACATTTTCCATATGGAATTGAAATGTAAATGAAGGTCAGATTACCATTGACCTAACTCATCAAGGAGCTGAAATAGCTTGCATTTACAACAAAAGCTAATGGGAAACAATATAAGTCCTTAAGACAGAAAAAAAAAAAGGCAGAATAAAGAAAGATAAACCCATCTTGAATGTTGGTGCTTGAGGAAAAGCAGGTTTGCTTAGAGGAGCCTTGATTAGATGTAGGGGCAAATGAAATCTTCTGTGATGATTCTGGAAGGGACTTCTGGACATTCTCAAGGGCACGAGATGTGGATGGAACCGGACTTTATTGTGTCTAATTGTACTTCAGAGCTCTCTCTCTTCTCTTCCTACCTTTCCCTTTACTGTAGAAAACCTTATTTGAGTGGCTGTCTGCTGATCTCAGGAAGGCCTTGGGGGCCCAGGCAGCTCTCTCTGGAGTACTCTTTATACTTCCCTGGATGGAAGCTGAAAGGAGGCTATATCCACCCTTCTTATGCACTTCCCTGTGACTGGATTCTTCCATATCAGAGAGTTTTCTCTCCCTTGGACTTTCTGTTTTAGTTTTGGCTTTTGGCCCTTTGAAGCTTAAAAGTGATATTTTTGGATTGCATCAAGCAGCCACCTTGCAAATACTCTAGAAACAAAATTGGAAGCCTTTGTTCTCTTTAAAAGGCTACTTTGTATTAAAGGAGTTTGTTATTGAAACAACAAACCCACCAAAAACCAAAACAACACGTTCTGGATTCATTAGACACCAGGGTTCTAAAGCGTGAGTTAAAAGTGAGTAGCTTATCTGAGACCAGAAGCTGGTGAAGGGTCAGAGGGTGGCGACTCCTCATGGCAGCCGCGGAGAGCTCTCTGAAGAGAGACTTTCTCGTGGAGAAGACATTTGTTACACTGTCGGGAATTCTTAGCTACTCTATCAAGCTAGTCTTTTCACCTGTCCCATCACAGGGATTTGGAAATAATTTTTCCCCAGAATCCTGAGTTACAGGGACATCTGCAATAAGGAGAGAGTTTTCTTCAGAAATCATCCAGAAAACCTCGTCTAGCACACGTATTCCAATTAGCCACTCTCATAGATCCCTGTGTTTTCTTCTGCAGCACGTATCACAGATGTACTTTTACCTTTGTGGGATTATTTGAGGGCTGTCTGTGTCCTATGCAATAATAAGCCTCATGCAGGCAGGACCTCTTCTCCTTGGTTACTGTGTCCCAAGCTTAGTCCCTGATACCCTGGAGACTTTCAGGAGATTGTACAGAGCAAATGAGTGAACTAATGCTGTAAAGTGTCAGCTGCAGGCTATCTCTCTTAGTCTTCCTTTCCTAGGAGATCAGAGGCAGGAGCTGGTGGCCTTCCACCGTCTGGCTACTGTGTACCACTCGCTGCACATGTACGAGATGGCTGAGGACTGCTACCTGAAGACTCTGTCCCTCTGTCCACCCTGGCTGCAGAGTCCCAAGGAGGCCTTATACTACGCCAAGGTGTATTATCGTCTGGGCCGACTCACCTACCACCAGCTGAAGGTAAGAGCCAGGCTCCAGGTTCATCCAAGGGCTGCTGTCCACCTATATTCTTCCCTGACCCTGAGCCTTCAGGGTAGAGTAGAGAGGGACAGATGGGGAGTGTTGTCTCATAGGGTGGGGAGTGGCTCTTCTGGGAACACAATAGCTCTTTCCACTTAGTCCCTTTGGAGACCTTGAAGAGGCTCCAGTCTCTGCTGAGAACACAGCTCCTAGCTCCTCTCCCTCCTTTCCCTGCTGTGATTTTTGTGGCCACTTCGTCTCTCAGCCAGAAATTAATGCAACATTGTAAATTGACTACACTTTAATGAAAAGAAACAAACAAACAAACAACAAACGTGTTTAAGCAAAGAAGGTGATTTATTGGCTCAAGGAACTGGGAAGTTCAGATATAAACTTAATTTCAGATAATTTAATTTCTGGCTGCTAGTACTCGAATGTCATCATGAATTTCCCCACCTCTCTCTCTATCTCTTGGCTCTGTATGTTTCTACTTCTCTTGGTATCTTGGCCTCTTCCCTTCCAGATACTGGCAGGCTCAAGCCCACATCTAAGAGGGTGAGGGACCATTTTGTCTATTAGGTCACACTTGAAAGGCCCCGGGGACAGGTCAGCTTGAGTCATTTACACACTCCTGAAGCTCTGTGCCCAAGGTGATGCTGCTTCATGATTGTCTGAGCCTGGGTGAGGTGCCACCCTTGTGCCTGGGGAGGAGGGCCACCAGGGTTAGCAATGTCACAGAACTGCAGCAGAGCGGGCGAGGGGAGTTCCCCCAAGGAACCAGGAGAAGGGAGTGGGAAAGGAAGTCAGGCGGACGAAATCCAGTGTTCTGAGAGTTCCCAGCACTACCGCCCAGCCTCTCCTGGAAAGTCGGCTAATGCTGTCTCTTCTCTGCCCCCATGCCTTGGGGTTAGGATGCCCACGATGCCACTGAGTACTTCTGGCTGGCCCTGGCCGCAGCGGTCCTTCTGGGTGACGAGGAGCTGGAGGACACCATTAGGACCAGGCTGAACAACGTCTGCCGGAGCCCCCTGTGGCACAGCAGCCCCTCTGGGCGCTCCTCGGAGAGGGCCCGGTGGCTGAGTGGAGGGGGCCTGGCTCTCTGAGTGAGGACAGCTAAACCATCTCTGACCAGCTGCCATGGCCAGAAGCTACCTCCCTGCCCTAGGCTCTTCGACACTAATCCGGGGGATCTGATTCATCACCTGGCCCAGCCTCTCGGCTCACAGTGGGAAGAGCATAGTGCAAGGGGACAGGGCTCATCCTGGACCCCACAAGGAGTGGATGGTGGAGCAGGGGTTAGGAGTCCTGGCTTTGTGGGTAGAGCCTTTCCGGTAGACTGTGGCCCTTCCACAATACAGACCCTGAAGTGCGTTTTCTAGACACACAGTTCTAGAGAAAGTGAGAATCCTTGCGCCTTAGAAAAGCTGTCCCCTTCCCTCAGTGGAGAAATCAGGCTCTGCACTGGAGAGAAGCAAGCAGATTGCACTTTGTTCCCTTCACTGACTTTTCTCAGGGAAAGACAACCCTCCCCTTGCCAGCAAAGAAACTGGTCGTTTCTTTCTTCCCTCTCTCCAGCCGGAGGAGATGCCACTCCTGCTCATAGGGACTGGCAGGCAGGGATTCACCTGCTCTTAGCTCAGAAGACACAGCCTCAGAATGGCCAGTTGGAAGGCATAGGGGGTGAGGTCTGATGCAGATTCACCATCTCCATCCTGCCCTGAGGCTCTGCCCTCCCATAACCTCCCAGACACCCTGGGGAAGCTTCCCAAGGGCCAAGGCTTAAAAATTGAGCACTAAGAAAATTATGACCTAAATTACATGTAAATAGTATATGTCATTAAATATTGCTCATTTATTCACACATGTGTCTCCTTAATAATAGGGAGAGATGAGGTAGGAGACTTGAAGGTTAAATCCCAAGGGGTATTGATTCCAGGGCTGCTCCTGCACGAAACTTCTCTATTAGTTGTCTGTCGCTGCATGACACACCCAGTGGCTTGAAACATTCATTATCCCACAGCTTCTGCAGGAAGGCAGGAATCCGAGTGTGAATTAATTGGGTCCTCTGGCTCAGGGTGGCTCACAGGGCTACGATCAAGGCGTCCGCTGCACCTGTAGTCTTCTCAAGCTTAACTAGGGAAGGATCCTTCCAGACTCACATTGCTATCGGCAGGAGTAATTTCCTTTCTTGCTGTTGGCCACAGGATGCCCACAGGCCCTTCCCTTTGGGCTTCTCCATAGAACAGCTCATGACATGGCAGCCTGCTTCATCAGAGTCAGAAGGACAGGGGTGAGAGCCAGGACAGGGAGTCAGTGTCTTCTCCTAACTAATCTCAGAAGTGACATCCAACTAGTTTTGCCTGTTTTATTCATTATAAGTGAGTCGCTAGGTCTAGTCCACTCAAAAAGGGAGGGAATTACCAAGGGTGTGAATACCAGGAGGTGGGGAGTCACTGGGGGCTGTTTCAGAAGCTGCCTACCACAGTATCTGAGTTATTTGATAATGGAATCAGGAGTTCTCTGAAGCAGAATCTCTGGGCCCAGGAGCCCTAGCTTTACCCCACTCCCCAGGTGATTCTAAGGCTCACCAAAGCATGAGAAGCCCTACCTGGGGACCATGGTTCTCAGAGTATGCAAAGGGATCATCTGGGGAGCTTGCTGAGAATGAACCTTCTGGTTCTTACCCCAATAATTCTGCTTCAGTAGATCTGGGAGATGTCCTAGGAACATGCATTTTGAATGCGCATCTCAAGTGAGCCTGATGGAGGTGGTTCACCCTTGCTCTAAAATATGGGAACATGCAAGAATATCTGCCATAGGGCTCACCACCTGACACCCAACAGCTTTGATTTTACTGTCAGGCCCTCTGCCTTACTTTCGAGCTTCTTGGGCCAGCCAGATGGTTGGTGGTGGGGTGGAGTGGGATGAGGGGGTAAGTTGAGTCAGCATTGCATCTTCTACTCACCAAGGTTATGTACACATCAGTATATCTTATTTTCTCTTAGTAGCTTGTTGGTTGTCAAAACACCCTAGACTCTAGAGTATTCTTCTCCAGGAAGGAAATGAAGTGACCTAGTTCACTACCAAGTAAGACAGATGTGGTTTTGTTCTCACCACAAACCATAAAATCCCCAGGCGGGGAGGAGTGTTGAAGATGAGTTTGACCTCCCATGCAGAGTCCTTTCAGCCTCATTCCAGGGAGACCAACAAGGGCACATGCATTCCAGAATGGTTGTGCATCTTGTATTTGAAGAAGGCTTGCTTGGCCCTGGGACCCATGCCATGAACCATTCCCCGTTTGTCTCAGGTTACAGACCCTCTCCCTTTTCCCCACTGACCTATTACTCTCTCTGGCCAGATGCCAATGTCTGTCCCCCTGAGTATGGTTGCTATAACTGGTATATGCCAGTGGGCAGAGAGTACAGAAGGTCATTACTGTACTACATGTAACTATTTTAACGTTGCATTAAGGTTTTTCTTCTTTCCAGCAGCTGTGTCTCACCATTGGCTCACATTGAGCTTATGATCAGTTGAGACCTCTTCTCACATGAGTTTCTGTTTGATTGGATCTTTCTCAATTGTTACAAATATAAATACACACATAAGTACATATATATATATGTGTGTGTGTGTGTGTGTATGTATTTAGGTGAAGGGCATAATAACTATCCATTTTACATTTCACTGGGAAATTTGTTAAAATTTTCTGATACTGTGCACTTTGGTTTACCTGTAAATCTGGTAAATTTGCCTTTAACCAGGTCAATTATAAAAATGTTTAGCACATCTCCAAAGACAAGGATAAAACTATTTTTTTAAATGAGAAAAACATTGTTCTATATCATTGCAGTGAATACATCCTGTATGCAAATTACTCTGCTGAAATAGTCTTTAAACATGTCTGAAAATCCGATTTAAAAAATGTGGTGACTATATCCCCTGGAATCATGCTGATGCTGTGTTTCATGATCCACAGAGAGTGAGTGAAATGGTGTTTGGATGTGGTCTCTGTTTAAGCAGGTTTTATTATACGTATATAGCAGCCAAAGATGAATCACTTACCCTCTTTACCCTAATCCTCCCCCACATTTAGTGGTCTGCCTGGCTCCTGGCTCCTTGCATCTAATCTAAATAAAGAACCAAGAAGGACTTACAACACTGTGGAAAACCCTGTAACATGTTTTCTCAGCTTTCAGGTATATTACTTCCTTATCCAACCGTGTTAATGCTTTGAAACCTAATATTGCTTTTATCCTTTTCTTATTTGCTCTTTCATAATTTTAAGATGTCTTTGTATTGTGTCTGTATGTGTGTGTGTGTTTGCTTGTGCTTTGTTAAGTAAAATGTAACTCATTTGACAAGTTTATCTGGGGAAGGAAGTATATAGAGGTAGAGAGTTTCGGAAATAGAGGGAGAAACAGTTCACCACGGGGTGAAGAGACCTGGATTTTAGTCTTAAATTTGACATTAAATTGCAATATGACTTTGGGCAAGTCACTTAACCTCTGTACACTTCACATGTCTGATCTCTAATATAGAAAGTGTGACTTCCTCTGGGTTCCTTTTCAGCAATGTTATTTCCATGCCCTATGAGCAGGAAGAGAGACTTGTATCTGGGAGATGAAATCATTTATTTTTATGGCCCAATTTTATTCTCTTGTTTTTACAGGTGAGTAAACTGAGAAGCAGAAAATTAAATTTTCTCCTAACCACAAAGGTAGTTGTGATAAAGATCGCAGTACCCTGGATCTCATGACTCATAGACTTAGCTGCAGAAATGTAATTCATTCAGGGTGACTTTCACAGTTGTATGCATGTGTGCATGCATGTGTATATGTGTGCATGCATGGATGTATGCATGTATGCACGTGCAATGCACACATGCATTTATCACCATATGTGACACCTGAACAGCCACTTATCAGTTTTTTTCTAAAGGGATTTACTTCCTTTACTCATACAAATTAATTTTATAAAGGATGACTGGTCCATGTAGAAAAAAAGACTTTTATTGCTTTCTATAAACTGAATTTCATAAATAAAAATAAATACAGTGGAAACAAAACAATGTGCTAAATTCAAGCTAGATCCTTTTGCTTATGCCGAGCGCCCAGCCTAGGCTTGATCTGGCATTATTTGAAAATAAAGAGATTAACAACTGGCAGGGAGTGTTGAAGACAGACTAATACTGTTGCTCTTGAGCAATCAGGGAAACAGAGCAAGCAACCTGAACGACAGACCTCCTCACAATGAGAGTCAGTGCTGTTCAGTGCCAAGTCTGGGCGCACTCTTCCCACTTCAGGGAAGTGGGGACTCAGTTGTATAAGAGGGAAGGGACAGATATAAATATGATCCAGGATGGGAAGCATTGTGAGGGGAGCTAATTACGGGGTGTAGTGAGAACTCAGGGGACATAACCCAGGCACAGGAGCGAGGACATTAGGGTGGGCTCCCTGGAGGAAGTGACATTTAAACTGAATCCTGAGAGAGAGAGAGAGATCTGCTTAATTCTAATGGCAGCCTAGGGGATTGACAGACAAGGAATATGTCAAGAGGGCCTGGTGTTTTCTGACAGCCGCAGTGAGTTGAACAAAGCTGGAGCAGAGTCAGGGAGGGAGGGAAGGGAAGTGAGAGAAAACGCTGGAGAGAGGAGCTGGAAACAGACACTGAGGGTAAGGGGGTGCCTTGAAAAGGTTATAAGCAGGAGGGAGAGGCAGGGTCAGATCTGTGCTTTGGAAAGATGAATCTGGAAGCAGCATGAAATTGGATTACAGGGCAGCAGGAGGGAAAGTGGGAGACCCATTAGGACGTGGCTATTGCAACAATACACTCCAGCTTTTATTTAAATTTCACCAGTTTTCCCAGTAAAGTCCTTCTTTTTTTTTGAGCCAAGATCCCAGAGTACCACACTGCATTTAGCTGTCATGTTTCCCTAGACATCTCTGGTCTGTGATAGTTTCTCAGTCTTTCCTTGTTTTTCATGATCTTGACTTCCTTCCCTTTTAATAGTTGCCCCCATTGAGATGTGTGGACAGGGAAAGGAAGGAAGAATAAATTCAAGGATATGAGCTCTATACTCACCAGGCAGCAGTTCCTGGTGGGTGCAAAGGAGTCAGGCATACAGGTTAGCATCTGTCTTAGTAGCTGTGTGACCTTCAGCAAGTTAATTAACTTCTCTGAGTCCAGTGTTGTCAGGATTATATCAGACAGCACATGTAAAAGTTCTGAGCACACCCAGTGCCTGGCACATAGTGTAAATGCTAGATGATCTGATAGATTTGTTTACTTTCTTTGTTTCATAGACAAGAAAATGGTTGAGGCACATCTATCTTTGGGGACAAATCTTTACCCAAAGAAGAAAGAACAAATGAGTCTGTTTTTAAAGTGAATTAATTAAATGGCTTATGTTCTAAGGAATGCCTACTATGACCCCACCCTTTATTTATTTTAAAGTTAAGATTTAATCTTAGCTTTTTTTCATACTCAATTTTATTTACCACTTTGCAATTCAGTCACGTTTTGTTTCTTTCTTGGTGTAAGCCTTGAAGTTCAAAAGTGCAACCCCAGACTTAGCAGTTGCTGGGAATGCTGGTCCTGCATTCAAGGACACCCTGGGTCTGAAGCTGGGTGAGTGACTGGCAAGTTACTCTACACTCTTCAGCCTCAGTTTTGACTCTTCTTGGAGTTTTACTTGAGACCTCAAGTGCGGATGACTAGGTATAAGCCCTCAATTCATGGTAGCTCTCATACTGAAGCAGAACTAAGTGGAGTCTTAGGAAGCATATCTGGTTCTGGGCTCCACGTACGAAGACAGGGATGTGTGTTAGGGGTGCAGTTCTCTTGGGGCTTTTACCTCTTGGTAAGACCTCTTAATGAGGCCTACCTCTTGGGTGGGACAGCATAGATTTTTTTCCAGTCTGCATCCTTCTGCTCCCCCAACCCTAGTCAGTTATTTCAGAACTCAGGTGTGTTAGAGGATGGAGGCTGCTGGCAGTCCAGGCTCTGAGAACATGCAGTCAATTTACCTTCCTCTAAGGGGTATAGTCTGTCCAGAGAAGCAGAGACAGATGGCTGCTAGAGGCTGGGGAGGCTCTGCCCAGCTGTGACATGTGATGGGCTGAGGTGGGGCCATGTGTGGCTGAGGCTCAGTCACAGGGCCGCTCAGCTCAGTTTCCCAGGAGACTGGGCAAGGGAAGCACACTGTGCTTTCAAAATTATTTCAAAAGTGAGAACTCCAGCTCCCACTTCTAGTGCTGCCTTGGACTCACTGCCCAGGGCATCACAATAGCTCAAGGGGTGCATTCCCCCAGGTGAGCTTGTAGACAGGGTACAGGGAGGATGACTGCAGTTACATGGGTAAGAAGCAAGGCTTCTGCCACTGTATGGCAGAAATCAAGAGCTCCACCAGGGGGCAGTAATGCCTCTCCTAAATAGCAGATAATTACCAAAGGATGTGTTTAAGAGCTCTGGGTCAGCCTACAGCAGTGGCTTTCAATTTTTTTTTTTCTTCCTGTGACACACAATAAGGGATGCATTTTATGTTGTATCCCAGTATGCATACACACACACACACACACACACACATAAACGTATACATATGTTTGACAAAATACCACTTAGTGCTTACGACATGAAACGCACTTTGAACCATTTTATTCCATCCTATTCATTATTAAAAACATTCTATTCTAATTTATAAACATCTAGCCTATGACCTACTAAATTGATTTCCAGATTCACTATCCTGCAGTTTGAAAAGTGCTGGCCTTGGAGGGGCTCTCTGAAAAGGCACAGGAGGGCTCTGGCCTTTGTTCTTTCTTATATATCATTTGATGGGCAATTTTATTGGAACCAGAGAATGTATACCTATCAAAATAAAAATAATGGTTGACATTTTTGAATGAATATTACATATGAGGCCCTGTGAAAGACCTTTCTGTGAACTCTCTCATGTAATCCAATAATGTTTGGAGGAAGATACTATTATTGTTATCTCCACTGAGGTTCAGCAAGTGGACATGGCTCACGTCCACAGTTAGTAAGTGGCTGAAGCGAGATTTGAACTCATGTCTTCCTGATGCTGGAAGCAGACTGTGAAGCCATTATGTGATTTTGTGGATCTGTGTCAGGTGACACATCTCTGGGACAGGTACCATCACTAATGTGGTCATGAATAGAAGCAGGTTAAAACTTGTTTTAGCAGCCTGAAATATTAGGCTGAAATCAATGTGGTGGTTCTGGCAGGTCAAAAACTTAATTATTCTAGAACAGAATTGGAGAGAACTGATTTTTCTAGGAGGTCTTGAGAAAAATATGGAGGTTATCACTGACCACAGTCAGATGACAGTCTAGAAGAAAGGATAAATCATCTTTCCCAAATGGAAAATGAAAGGAGGAATAGAAAGTTTATAATGGCAAAGTGGTGATAGGTCAAAGCAAATTACAAATTAGATTTTAAAGCTTCCAGGGGGAGCACAGGGTGAATTTGCAGGAGATCCATCCCTAAACTGATAGCAGAAGACTGCGGACACCTGAGGCAGCCAGGTGGATGGCGCCTTGTGGGTCTCACTCATCATGGTACCTGTGGCTTGAATGGCAGCAGCAGAAAGGACATCACAGATGTGAGAGAATCACTTACTTTTGATATCCTGGGGAAGCTGGTGGGGATACCATCTTCCTCCAAATGTGTCTTGTGAAACAAACAGGCAGGGAGAAGCCCATGCTCATGTTGAGATGTTTGAATTCTTATGCATAAACAGGGTTAGAAACAGGGTTGTTTTTTTTTTTTTGTAAACTGATTCACAATATTTAAGAATGCTTATCTATTCTCTTAACCTGTTTTATTTTATTTGGAATTGCTAATTTGTACCTACTGCAAATTCTATGAAAATAATTTTTAAAATAGGCAATCTCTTCATTTCTAACCTTTGTTTCTAACCTTTCAGATCTAGAGTATGATATTTAAACATGATGTGTATGACTCTCAACTACTTTACCTTTCTGGCCTAGGCCAAATGTTATGTGTGAAGTTGACATTTTTGTTCTTGAACTTGCTTGTAAACTGAGACCTTCGTTGTTTGTTCATCTGGGGAAGTATTGGACATCTGCTTCATAGAGATGCTCATAGGAACATCCCTGACGTCTCTGCGCATTGTCCCAGACAGCAGTGACACCAGCTACATCTGCTTTCCTCCCCAGGGCACTGCCAAGGGCCAGGCTGAAGTAACAGCTGCATGGTAACCCCAGTGACCAAACAGATACTTATTCATGAAACAAACAAAACGGACTTCTGTCTGTCCTAGAACATGTAGCTTTGGGACTCTAGTGGGTGGAGGGAAGGATAGCCAAACAGAAGGATGACTTGGAGGGTTTGCAATTTTGGTTGTTTAAAGTCCTAAGGGATTATGACAGTCTGACCCTCTCCCAAGTCCTGTAGCATTCTTTTCTTTTCTTTCCTGTTATATAAAGTTTGTCTTTCTCTCTATTTCTTCTTGTATCCTTAGATTAGCTTCTTCTTCTTACATGTGCTTGTAGATCCCTGTATTTTTCCTTCAGGGCACTTATCACAGTTTGTAATTATATTGTCTGTGTGGCTTTAAAAAAAATTCCTGTGCACCACCTAGATCAAAAGTTTCTTAAGAGTGGGGACCTTGTCTGGGTCACTCACCTTCCTATTTCCTGAATTGTTACCAATATCTGACACATGGTAGAATCTCAGTAAAGGTTTGGTGAATGGGTTAATAAAAATGAATGAATGAAACTTTGGATTCAGGTCGTGGCCCCTTCGTATCATTTGTGAGGGGGAGAAAGTATTAAAACCACAATCTACCTGCTTTTTGCTCATGAGTAACATAGGGGATTAGGTGATAGGTAAGAGTATTGAGAATAATAAGCATAATTTTCATTTGTTTAGAATGAATTGCTGTAGATGGGCTGACCTCTTCCCAGCTTTCAGAGAGGAAGCAGTTATGACCAGGCATAATCATGGTCTTTAACTGAGCACCTGCCCTCTTTACTAGGCACTGTGCTTAGTAATTCACCTGCAGTATATGACTGGATCCTCCAAATTACCCTACAAAGAAGGTGTTATTTTCCCTACTTTCCAATGAAGGAATCAGGGCTCAGAGTAGTTAAGACACTTATAGAGATGCAAAACCAGTTCTGTCTGACCTGAAAATCAGTGCTTTTAATAACTATGTAATTCTGGTTTCACATTTCCTCTTTAGAACTTAGGATCTTGAAGAGAATGATTTGCCTGGTGAACATTTGATGGTTACCCTTTGTCTTAAGGAGGGGAACGACCAGAAAAGCTCGGAGCAAGAAACCTGATTTGTACCAGCAGTAATTTACCAATCATCACAGGAAATCCCTTCAGGGCTGAAGGTTCTGTGGGAGAAAGTGCACCAGGGTCAGGTGATACCTTTAGGATATTTTGTGTTCTAACTGGGAAGAGATTGTTTCAGACTCACAAATCATAAATTGGGGATGTGGTGAAAAATGCAGGACGGAAGACCTAGTCTCTGCCTTTGAGTATCTGTTGGTCTTTTGGGAGGGGAGTGGATACCCACGTGCATAGGAGGGAAAGTCTGAGTCAGAGGGTAGCTCCTGTGGGACAATGGAAACAAAGATGTATCCATCCATCCATCTATCCAGCCAACCAATATCAAACACCTCACACTCCAGTGAGCAAGATCGTCACAGTCCATGAATCACGAAGCCATGGGCTCCTGGGTGGACCAGGGTCCCCCCAGGGTGAACCTCTCCATCATTCTTACCATCACAGCTGAGATTTGAGCACTTAAACTCCAGATACTGTGCTTCAGGTGTGCTTCCATTATATCACTGGCTCCTCTTATGCAGTCTCACCCCACCCAGGAAGTAACTGTGTACTATAATTGTTCAAATAGGACGCATGAGAGAACAGGTCTAGGGAGGTTAAATGAGAGGTTAGCTTACCCAAAGTCCTGCAGATGCGAAGTGGCAGAGTGAGGAGACCAGTCTAAGCCTAGTCCGTATTACGAGTACTGCGTCGGGATACAAATCTAAGCCTCGTCCATACTGCAGTTATTTCATAAAACTGAATCTAGACGTTTGCTTAATGTCATGGAGCTTCAGATGGATTGATCTTATTTCATCCGAACATCCTACCCAGAATGAATTGTGGTACCATTGAAAACCTGCATTGTTTTATCAAAGGTAGGACCTCAGAGAAGTTTTTAAAGCTCTTGGTAAAATTAGGGTGATAACAGTATTTCTCTTGCAGGATTCTTGTAGAGATTAAATGAGTTAATATACATAAAGTGCTTCGACTGGTACCTGGTACATGTTGTATAAGTGGTGGCTGTGATTGCTGTGGTTCTATTGACAGGCATTTGAGAAGAGTGTTTTATGTGAAGAAGATAATGAATTCAGCTTGGAACATGTGGCGTGCTTTTATTTTGCATCCAACTGGATGTGAAACCAGTTTAATGTCCATACTGTCCACTTGACGTTATGGGCCATGAGGTCAGAGATTGGGTCATCCCTGTACCCACAGCACGAGGATAGTGCCTGACCCACACAAGGTATTCAATATTGATTTATTGGATAAATGAATGAATGAATAAATGAATGCATGGTTGACACTGTTTAGGGTATAAATTATACATGGATAAAACAGTGAAATAAATATGTCCCCTGAAGGACACCAGCAGATACGAAATAGAGAGGTATGAGAGTGAGTGTGGTCTTCCTGCAGAGACTCCAAATAATGTATGGCCCCCAGGGAGAAGAGGGGTGATTCTTTTTCCAGTTCTTACATGAGCTGTCATTTCAGGGCCCTGAGATGTCCTAGGCCAGGGAGTCACAGTGTCCTGGAGTTCTCTGCCAGCTAAACTATGTTGCCAGTCCCCTTTACAAGAAAGTAAAGGACCTTTCTTCCTGTCCTTTGGCTTCAAACTGGGGTCAAAAGCCTTAGGCTGATGTGAAAATAAATAAAGACCCTGAGCAGACAAAGGCCATTCTGCTGCCAGCCCTCACTATAAACACTGCCCTTCCTTTCCTCTAGTCTGGAGCTTCCAGGTACTTCCCTGGGCCCATCATGACCTCACTTGGCCTAACGGCCTGGTGGTTGCAGCAGATCCTGGTGGTCTTGTGGGATGAGAAGGGGGGCTTCTGAGAGAAATCAGAGGTAAGTGACAGCCGACTTTCTGAAAAAGAAAATGTGCGTGTGTGTATGCATACTAAAGGTTGTCATACATCTTGCTTTTATAAAGGATGTATGGCACACAATTTACAAATAGCAATAAAATATCAATGATTGTACTGTAAATTTCATATAACCAATTGATTCCCAGACAATACATTCAGTGATTTATGTGGAACCTTTGTATCTAGAGCCAACCATGGTTGCAATTGGATAACAAGATTAGTTTTGACACGAATACTCATTGATATTTTCATTAACAAGTAAGACAAAAGTGAAATAACAAAGAGGTTGGAAATCACTCATTTGTCAACAGTGTGAGTGGCTTTTTTTTTCCTGAATTCAAAAGGCTGTTGCCTCATTTTTTGTGCTCATTACCATGGAACAGGTGTAGACTTAATAGACATGGTTTTAAGTATAATACACATTATTAGCATCACTTTCTTAACTCTAGACAATCAGCAAAGCCATAAGTGAGGTCTTGGTTTGTAGCATTTGCAAATTTCTGTCGTATAAATACTCCAGCCTTGCTGATTTCAGGCTGCTAATGTGATGTCACTGAATATGGGTGGGGAGAGATGTGCACATCACCACAGAGTATTTCTCCCACACAGATTTGATGAGCGTGAACAGCCTCAGTAGCAAAATCTACCAACCTAGTTAGGAAGTGATGAGTTTTAAACATTACCTCTTTTTAAGATGATATATTTAATTATAAGTTTATATTCTTTATGTAATTTGACTTTTAACAATGGCTGTGCTTAACAACCAGCTCACCAAATTCCTGAAACTTAACAATTGGCTCTCAGGAGTGGGTTTGAGCCAGCTCTGGCATGCCACTGACCCCAGCCTTGTCAAAGAAGATAAGGTCAAGATAAGGGTGAGTGGTCACGAGGCCCAGAGATCTGGTGCAGGAGCCAGTGCCTAGCACTAGAGATAACATGAGACAAGTAACTGCTGAGACTACAAAAATGGAAGGCAAAGAGGAGAGTGACTCTTCTTGTTCAGGAAGTAAAGAAAGTTCTCCTGGAACCCTCTTGAAGGTTTGAGAAATTCTTCACTCACCTCCCTCACCCCATAACATTTACTCCCTGGTGTAAATGTTAACTTCTTTGTTGACCTTATAGGATTAAAGCTTGCCTAGAATAATATCGTGTGTGCTAGTTGCTTGGCTTTTCAAGTGAGCTTTGCAAAGGCAGTGGTTATGTCAGTTTGTTTGCCTCATCAGAGCATCTCCTGCAAATGATTGCATCCTCAGTGACAAAACGCGGCTGTAAGAAGTTTTGACCTCCCTGTGTTGGCACTTCCTGTTTGACCCGTGTTTTATGTGGCAGACATTTTGACCTCTGTGCTTTGGTCCTGAGGATGCTTTGCTTCCGTGCTTATAACTACAAGCATTTAAAGCACCAACATGGTTGAATTTTTGCCACGGAAGTATTTTTCTTAATTAAGTCTCATTAAGCCATTTTAGTATCAGGATCAGTGTTCAATAAGTTGCAGTGAAACCATTTCTACTTTTTGTCATTTCTCTTCTCATTTTATCAAAATCAGTTTTATAGAGATTCATGCCTTTCCATGTGAATTTTCACAAGGAAGGCTTAATGTATTGATTATGATTCATCTGTGTCAAATGTATCAAATTTTAGCTTCTGCCAGAGTGAATTTTCTGTTGCGGCTTTATTTCTACTGAGTCCAATTTCCATGGTACACATTTGGTTGATGTGAACTTTGTCGGGACAGCTTGATTCTTCTGTCAGTGTTTAGTCATCAACACATTTTGCTTTGCATAGTTTTAGCTGTTGTCGGTTTTATTTTGAACTGATTACTTCAATCAAAAGAGTGAGACACGAATGCCCAACCACCTTAAGCATCTATGGAGGCCAGGAGTGGAGCCAGGTGAAGGCAGACTGGGCCCGATCCGGATGATATGCTTTGAGCTCAGTTTTCATCCATAGCAGACAAGCAGACAGGCAGATTAGTGGTAATTATCAATGATAAGAACCCTAAGGGAAGTGGCGAAATGCCTTTCTTTGTTAAACATGAGCTGTGCGTGTAATCCCCACAAAGGTTTCTCAACCCTGACAGGCCCTTGGTGCATGTTGGAGGGAACTGAGGCTACCGTGTGGTGTAGCCACAGAGCTTGGGCTCTGGGTCAGGTGATCTGGGATCTGAACCCAGGTTTGTCGCTCCCTGCTGTGTGTACTTGGGTAAGTCCATCTCCATCGCTAGGTCTCAGTTTTACCCAATGTCAAAAGATGGGCTGGTCTCTAAAAGTCCACAGACCTTTTTGAAAATCTGAAGATATCTGTGACATCTGCCTTCAGAATTACACACACCCTCATTTTGCATAGAACTTCACAGAGTTGATGGACCCTTTAATAACTACCTAAGGATGAGTTAAGAACACCCAGCCCAGGTGACCTGTCAGGACCTGTCCAGGGTTGACATGTCAGAACTTAGGTGATATATATATATATAATGCACACACATACACACACACACTGTTTATGGAATAAAAATGGAGAAACCCTAAAAGAAGGATCTGGAACCCTTAGTATGCATGACAAGTTCATTAACATTTTCATTAATGTTATTAATGATTAAGAGCATAGACCTGGGGTTATGCCGCCTGGGTTAAAATCCCAATTCCATGCGAGTGTCTTGTGCAAGACACTTAACCAGTCTGGGCCTCAATTTCTGCATCTGTAAGATGGACATATTAATGGCACCAACTTCATAAGGCTGTTCTATGTAACTGTTAGATATTAAATTGTTACTTCTTATTGCCTCTTAAATGAACCAACGGTCAGAGAATTTTATATCATAAGAAGTGGTAACTGTTACAGTCTGTGGGCTGAGACCTCTAGTTCAGCTCTTTCACTTTACCATGGGAGAACTAGGAAAGGGAAGAGCCTTACCCCAGGTCGCCCAGCTCACCCAAGTCAGTGTTGCTCTCTGACACTACCCTTAGACGCTGGGAAGAACCTCAGCTGACATGATGTCATCGGCATGCCACTTTTCAAGGCAAGAGGAGGCCCGTCTTCTCGGACCACGTCCCGTGCAATTCTGGGCTGTGTTTGTAGAGTTCTCTGATGCCAGCTGTTTCTGCTTATGCATGTAGAGTGATTCAGGGCAGGTTGGGCATCAGTGGGTATGATTTCTACAAAAGCAGTTTGCAAGAGCTTCTGATTCTACCTGGAAATTAGTCACTCCAATTCTAATTATAAGGCTTCTGTGACCCCGGCTTCTGTGACTGGCTGCCCCTGGCATTTCAACCACCCAACTGCAACACCTTAATGTCAACGCCGCTGCAAGAACTGGGACCTCTGGGGGAAACTCTTCTGACCTAATCACCTTACTATCTGGCAAAAACTAAGGTGGACTCCTGTCCAAAACACTTCTGAGTTCTACCAAGCCCTGGGAAATATAGGATAATCCCATGGAGACCGGGGTTAGCTTTGCTGTGGAAGGAACTGTGGGTTATAGAACTGGTAGGATGGCTTGTGTTTGCACTCCTTCCTAGGAGCCCAGCAAGGGCTGCGCATTAGCCGCCCGTGAGCACTTCCCTGCCCTGCTGGTTTCAGCGGCTAGTAGGTGGTTTTGAGAAGAACACTGGGTCCCAGTCCTATGGAGCCTTGAGGAGGGCACTCAGCCTCTCCAAGCTTTGATATCCTCGTCTCTGTGTGATAACTGTTATGAGAATTGACTATTAATAATTATAGATAAAACATTTTTAACACTTAATAAGCACAGTATCATTGATAAGGGTATTTACCAAGGGCTTCCCTTGAGTCTTGCGCTGTGTCATGTGCTTCACAGGGATGACCTCATTTAATGTTCAGAACCATGCTTTGAGGGAAAAAGGTGAGCCCTATTCTTTTTAGAGATGAGGAAACAGGCTCAGAGAGGTTCAGTGAGTTGCCCTCAACTGATGAAGAACAGGCAGGGGCTCGAACCCAGGGTAGTCTGACTCCAGACTCTGAGCACGTGTCCATCATGCTCTCTCACTGCCTCACTTTCTCTCTGCCATGTTTACTCTGTCAGGCCTTGTAGCATCTTAAACGCACTTATAGCACGTTTATCCTCACACCAAATGTAGTGTGTGTGAAAACACATGGAGAAGAAAGAGTACTCTACACATGCTCATTTTTACCCCACGTGAAGTTGTCTGGCTGTCACAGTGAATGCCCCTAGTGTTTTCAAGGGCTGTGTTAAAGGTTTTTGGGGTTCAGAGGGATTGGGGTCTTGAAAGGCCTACAGAAAGTGGTGACAGTTACTCACCGAGTAACTCTTAATTTGGGTTTTAGGAAGTTGATTTTGTGTGAGATGTGGCTGGGACCTCATGTTTGAAGTCAGACGGTCTGGGCTCTGAAACTTGGTAACTTTGGGACCTTGCAGACGTGACTTAACTTCTCTGCATCTCAGTTTTCTTATCTGGAAAAGGGGATATTCTAGAACGTACCTTACAGGGTTGCTCTGAAGATTGAAATAGATGATGTATTTAAAGTAGCCCACAGCCTTGTACATAGCAAATATTCGACAAATAATAGCTGTTGTGAGTTTTGCCCTGTGTGCTCTCTGGTAGTACTTACTGCACTTGCTGGGTGTCAGGCGTTGGGTTAAGCACTTTGTATGCGTTGTTTCATTTCATGCTCGAAACAACCTCGAGGGTAGACATTACTTACATCTCCATTTTACTAATGGGAAATTGGGTCTTCAAGAATTTAAATAATTTGCCGAAGATCTTATACCTCGTGAGTCACAGGGGCGGGGTTTGAGCTCTGCTGGTCTAACCCCAGGGTCCGTGTGCTTCACCACCAGGCTGTCCTCATCTCTTTTGCTCCTGTTTTGACTTCTTCAGCAGCCTTGTCTCCAGGTAAACCTAGTCACCCACTCAAGTCGCCTTTCAACTAATTGACAGTACAGCGTAGCGTGTATGTGTGTGTGTGTGAACAAAGGCCAGCCCACCTGTGAGGAGATGCATG